AGTGGGCAAGTGGTGAGCCAAGTGGCAAGTGGTGGACTAACTGCAGTACGATTGCAGTACGACCTCAGTAGGTTAGCAGTGAGTCTCCAAGCAGTCAGCGGTGCAGTTCAGTCAGTCCCAGTCCAGTCCAGCAAGTACCATGAGGGACTGTGTGCACCATGGGCCGATGGAAAGGGGCAAACCAACGAGCTGCTGAAGTATAAATCAAGAGGCAGCGCCCAAGCATTCCATTGATTCCTGCGTCAGCCATGTGGAAGCGCTGCCACAATGACTTGTGCAGGGAGGTCTGCAGTAAGCCCGAAGACGAAGGGGGCAGCGCGACGAAGTTAGCTATAGCGATAGGGTAGTGGCGGCCATAGCCGCCATAGCTGTAGTTGAGGTTCTGTGTGTGTTAGTGTGTGTGAGTGTTCAGAGAGTCACGTGTGGGATATCCAGGGTGATCCGGTGTATGTGAACAGAGAGTTGTTTGGGCGCTGAGTCGCCATAGCCATTGAAAGTGAACTCGTATCTGGGTTGCCATATCTCTGAGTTTTGAGTGGGCGCATGTCGCCAGTTGCTGCGCTACTGTTTGCATGCATGGAAATTGTGAATGAACGCGAGTCTGATTGCATATTGGGGAAGATGGAGATAATGACGAGGAACATAGAGCACCTGGCATAAGTCCAGGAAGAACAATATCTATTTGGTAGAGGCCAGGACATTGTCGTACGCTCTATATGGCTGGGGCTCCGGAACTTCGCCAGGGAATTGGCGACGCAGGTGGGCCCAGAGGTGACGGCCCGCCTAGAGGGCACGGAACATTATTGCACGGGCGCCATAGAAGGCGTCAAACTGGCTGCTCCTGAGGAGGAGGAGGCACGTCCCTGTAGGGAGTCGGTCAAGGTCAAGTTCCCTGACTCCTATAATGGGAAGAAGGACGAGAACTTCGACAATTGGGAGGCTAACATTAAGATGTACGTGCAACTGCAGAAAGTCGCCCCAGACGAGCATGTCCTGATAGCGATTCACGCTCTTAGGGAGGAAGCAGCAAGCTTCGCTCGTTCCCTGTGTCGTGCTGCCAACTGCAACGATGATCTCGTTGCCTATTCTGCGTTCACGCCCCTCAATGATTTTCTTAGGTTATTAAGGGAATGGTTTGCAGACATCTCGCGTAGTGTCAAAGCCTCTGATAGATTGCAAACCATCCACTTTCGTCAGTGCAAGAGTGCCAGAGCACTCAAGGGAGTGATGGATGAGCTGGTCGCCATCCCGGACCATGGGGTCACAGAGACCCAATTGGTCAACCTTCTTTATCGGGCTATGCCTGAACAATTACGAGGGCACTTCTTCGAGAATTGCCAGCAGCCCACCATGACCTACGACGCATTGAGCAGGGAAGTGGTGGCGTTCGAGGCGAGGTCCATGTCAATTTCCACTTTTTGGCATAAGGACCTGGATAAGGGTAAAAAGTGGAAGGGTCGCACCATCTCGGGTCAGGTCAAGACCAAGGATCGTTTGATCCTTACGTTAGATGAGGGTGGTGTCGACGAGGTCCCCTACGAGCAGATTGAGTGGGGACTAGAGGAGGAGGACAGTGGTGTTAGCCCAGGGAGGACTTACGCTGCTGTCGCCGCTGGAGGGAGGCCGCAAGGAGGAGGTAGAGGCCAGGGCCAAGGGGGTCGGGCCTCAGGGGGCCGTTCCCAGGGCGATCAGGGGGTTGGTGGTAGAGGAGGAAACCGCCAAGCGGGAGGAAGGAGTCAAGGTCCCCCCCAAAACCGTTCAGGGAATAGGTCGCCTAATAGGGGTAATAGATCACCCTATAGAAGAGGAGGATGGCACCCAGGTCTGCCACAGGGTAGGCCTTGGGAGGACTTGGGCCTGGACCAGCGCGTATGGCAACAACGTGTGGACCAGGGGAAGTGCATTTATTGCGGTGACCCTGGCCACATCATCAAATACTGTCCAAAGTACAGAGAGGCCTGAGGGGCTGCCCAGGGGTCAAAAGGCAGCCGCCGGTAGAGGTAGCAACTGCCCCTACCATTAGGCCATGTGGGGAAATGAGCGCGAGCCGACACGAATCTCCCACACCACATGTGCCTATGGCAGAGGTTGCAGGTCGGTGCCTAGATAGTTGTCTAGAGACTGCTTGTGTTAGGGTCTCTCTAGGCACTTCCCTCACAGGCATGGCCGATGAGCTAAAGGAGAGGATGCCCGCCTGGGCCAAGATTAAAAAGGAGAGTAGAGGACAACTAGTTTTGGTAGATGTAGAGATTTTCAGAGGTAGAGTAGGGGCCCTAGTAGATAGTGGGGCCACGCGCAACTATATCAGTAGAAAAGCGCTGCAGAAGTTGAAGTTGGGGCTAAAAGTCCAAAAGTTAGCAGACCCCATTGTGAGCATCCTCGCAGACAATCGCACGATGCGAGTAGAGGATTATGTAGAGGGAGTCCAGGCGTACTTTCACCTAGAGAAAAATGGGAAGGTGGAGAAAGTTCTCCATTCCCCGACTCTCCTCGTAGAGGACAACCTTCCTTTTGACATAGTTCTGGGAATGGATTGGGGAAAGGCAGTCGGGGCCACACTCCATTTGAGAGAGCACGAGTGTAGGCTCCCTAGTCCGTCAGGCGGGGTCAGGACTACCCGTTTGTTCCACGTGTCAGGAGTAGATAACTCATTGGCACACTGCTGCCTTAGCGCTCCTGCGCTTGCAAGATTAGTGAAGAAGGAGCAACTAGAAGAACAAGTCTTTGTAGCCTATGTTAGGCCAGTGACTGAGCCTGATATTGCCAAGCTGCTGGAAGAGTTTACAGACTTAGCTAAGCCACCAACAGGAGTAGTACCGCAGCCAATCCAACATCGTATTGAAATAGAGCCTGGCCATAGGACTCCTAGGGGAGCAGTGTATAGGATGTCCCCGCGGGAGTTGGAGGAGCTGCGCAAGCAATTAGATGAGCTCCTAGAAAAGGGTTGGATTAGGCCCAGTTCGTCTCTATTTGGAACACCTGTTCTGTTTGTTCCCAAGAAGGAGGGAGAGCTCAGAATGTGTATAGACTATAGGGGTCTCAATGCTATCACCGTGAAGAATGCAGAGCCTCTGCCCCCTATAGACGATCTTTTAGATTGGGTGCAGGGTTGCAAGTATTTTTCGAAGATAAATCTGAAGTCCAGATATCATCAGATAGAGGTCCATCCTGATGATCAGTATAAGATTGCGTTCCGGACTAGATATGGGCACTACGAGTTTATAGTTATGCCCTTTGGACTAACCAACGCGCCAACGACTTTTCAGTGTTGTATGAATGACTTATTTAGGCCGCGGTTGGACAGGTTTGTGGTAGTCTATTTAGATGACATTCTAGTGTTCAGTCGGACCCTCCAGGAGCATGAGGGTCATCTAAGGCAGGTCTTGGAGAAGCTTAGAGAGGCTAACTTCAAGATCAACGCGAAGAAGTGTGAATGGGCAAAGACCCAAGTTCTGTATTTGGGCCATGTCTCGGATGGAGACAGCATCAAACCAGAAGATAGTAAGATTGCAACGATTAGAGATTGGCCTACACCCCGCACGTTGACAGAGTTGTGGTCGTTCCTAGGCCTAGCTAACTACTACAGGAAGTTTGTTAGGAACTCCTCCACCATCGTTGCTCCCCTTCGCAGGTTGTTGAAGAAAGAAACAATCTGGAGGTGGGACAAGGACTGCACGTCTGCCATGAAGAAGTTGAAACAGGCATTGATAGAGTACCCAGTCCTTAAGGTAGCCGATCCGTCCTTACCTTTCGTTGTCAGCACTGACGCAAGCCAGTATGGTATAGGTGATGTATTACAGCAAGACGATGGCAATGGATATAGACTCGTAGAGTTCATGTCTGCTAGGATGCCTTCAGAAAAGGTAGCGACATCTGCCTACGAGAGGGGACTCTACGCTCTCAGGCAAGCATTAGAGCACTGAAAACACTACTTGCTTGGGAGGCACATCAAAGTCTATTCAGACCACGAGACATTAAGGTGGTTGAAGACTCAGGCCAAGATGACACCTAAGCTGACTAGGTGGGCCGCAGAGCTAGACCAATATGATTTTGAGCTCAAGCCCGTCAAAGGGAAGTATAATGTAGTTGCGGACACTCTAAGTAGGAAAGATGATTACTTTGGAGCGATAGTTCATTATCTGGATATAGGGAGAGACCTGCAACAGAAAGTTAGAGAGGCGTATGTGCAGGACCCTATCTATATTGACCTCCTCAAAAGAGTAAAGGAGGCCCCAGAGTCAGAACCAGACTACCGCACTACTGATGGGCTACTATTCGAGAAGACTAACGTAGTTGACCGATTGTGCATTCCTAACAGTGAAGAGATCCGTAGTTTGATCGTAGGGGAATGCCATGATACTAAGGGACATTTTGGTTGGCAAAAGACTCTAGCTAACCTCATGCGCGTGTACATATGGCCTGGGATGAAGGTCGGCTGCATAGAACATGTTCGCAGTTGTAAGGTCCGCCAGAGAAATAAGACCTCTACGTGTGCCCCTCTAGGTCTTCTCAGACCCTTGCCTATTTCTGATCAGCCAAGAGATTCAGTGTCCATTGACTTTATGGACGCCCATGTCAAGAGTAGGTAGCCAAGTCATGGTAATAGTTGACAGGTTTAGTAAGTATGTGGTTTTTGTTCCTTTGCCCTCAGAGGCACACACAAAATTAGTTATTCAAAAGTTATTTGATCATTGGGTCCGTGAACACCGGATTCCACTGTCTACGAGAGAGATAAGAAAGGTAAAGTTCCTGCCTTGGACTGAGTTATTCTCGGAGGACCTCGAATTTAGCCCGGCGGGAGTGAAACGGTTTTCACCTTTAGCAGTAGTGAATGCAGATCCCAGGGCTCGATCCCTAGTTCTCACCTTATCTGTGCACAGTATTTGTGTCGCCCCCGAGTGTTTGAACCCGTGACCTGTGTTTTGGCAGTTGTTGTTGTCTGTCGTAGGTCTATGTAGTGGTAGGGGTTCGATCTGTGAAAGGTCAAGGTCGTAGCTGCTACAGTCCTGAGAGGTCAAGGTCGTAGCTGCTACAGTACCCGAAAGGCCAAGTCTACAGACTTCCGGAAGGTCCCGGAATGGTCTTTTGGAGTGGACTCACGTTTAGGCAGAGGCAAGTGGGCAAGTGGTGGAGCCAACCTCAGTATGTTGGCAGTGCGACTGCAGTGAGTCTGTGGTGCAAACCCATGCAGTCAGCGGTACCGGTCCAGTCAGTCCCAGTCCAGTCCAGCAAGTACCATGAGGGACTGTGTGCACCATGGGCCGATGGAAAAAGGGCAGACCAGCGAGTTACAGAAGTATAAATCAGGAGGCAGCGCCCAGCCATTCATTGATTCCTGCGTGAGCCATTCGGAAGTGCTGCCATAGCGACTTGTGCGAGGTGGTCTGCACTGAGCCCGAGGACGAAGTGAGCGAGAAGGAAGTTAGCCATAGCGGTAGAGTAGTAGCGGCCATATCCGCCATAGCTGTAGGTGTGTGCTGGTGTGTGTGAGTGTACAGAGTGTGATGTGTGTTGGATATCCAGGGTGATCCTGTGTGCGAACAGCAATGTTGAGTAAGCGGCGAACAGAGAGTTGTACAGGCGATGTACCGCCATGGCCGTCTGAAGTGAACTTGTATCTGAGCTGCGTTCTTGGTACTACATATCTGAGTTTTGAGTGGGCGCTTGACGCCAGTTTGCTGCGCAACGTGTTTGCATGCATGGGGAGTGTGAATGAAAGCGAGTCTGATTGCATTACCACCCACCTTAAAGGATGCCATCGGCGGGAGGAGAATTTGCAAACTATCATCAAATGCATTCCAGAAGGCTGGAAGGAGCTGCTGAGTGAAGCACCGACTTGGAAAACTGGGGAATGGGGAGTCAAGATACAGGAATTGTCCCCCTCAAGAGCCTACCAATTTTCTGACAAACAGCAGGGATCAGATACCCTGGCTGTCTTTACCTCCTTCCCAATCGCGTCATCACTTCACGGCTCTTCGTCCGTTCTGAATACGGACGTGGAAATAACAGTCTTAGATTTGTTTATTCTCAGATAAGTAAGAGTTCTGGGCACATGGCCCAAAACAATCTTCAGAATGAATATGGCGATTCAAGACTTGGAGTTCGACCCGGCAGAATGGGCTTGGACACCAAACAGAAGCAGAAGTCTCAAAATGAACGTCCACATCCAGGGATACACAGTCAAACTGGGATATGAACTACTACTCAAGACAAAGGATCCTGACCCAACAATTAAAAACAGATGGTAGAAGTGAATAGGTCAGGGCTCCAGCCAGATCTCACAAATACCATGGAAAAAGTTCAAGTCAATGTGACCAGTCAAAATCAGAAGCCTACAGTGGCTCATCTCGTACGTGGCTCTACCGGTCAACCAGGGGTTGCATATCAGAAGTAGTAAGCACGACACTAACAGCTCAGATTTATGCGTGGTATGTTCGAAAAATGAACCAGAAGATATGCTACACTGCCTAGTACATTGCACAGAGCCGACGAAATACTGGGCTAGAGCTTCGGACCTCTGGGATTCCCTCTTCTCGACTCCCCTCCCTGAACACCCCATGCAACTCCTATGGACTAACATCCCCGCCCAATTCCACAAGACAGAGAAGACGTGGTTTGGTATGATCAGAAAGGTAACACTGTGGTCCATCTGAAAGGAAAGGTGCTGCAGAACCATTGAGGGACTTGCTACTCCAAGAGAGAAGGTATGGGCGGAGACAAACATTTTGAATTTTTGATCCAGGCAGAGATTCTTTGCAAGTGGCATAAGACGAGACACTCCGAAATTTGTGCCTTCTATAGCTTCTAGTACCTTTCTCGCTCTTTATGTTTTATCTGGCAGGCTCACGTAGTGGACCTGAGAGGAAATGTGGAAGTATGGCAAGCTGACAGTTAATCCTCCACAATGCTGGAGCAATCAATGCTGGTCAGGATCCCCTCGGCCAGACGGAAGGAAGTGAATGTGTGCTTCATGATGTAATATCTTAATCTGACTTGCCGCTGGAATAGGAACCGGACTGACGCTCCCCAGAATGGAAATGGAGCCAGGGCCATAAGGACCTGCTTTGGGGAAAGAAAAAAAAAAAACTTCAAAAAAGGAAGGACAAAAAAAAAGGATCCCAGAAGTGGGTTGGAAAACGACTCGCGGAGGGGCTGGGTTGGAAAACGACTCGCAGAGGCCCCTTTTTTCCGTGGCCTAGACATCTCGGCCGTGGCCCACCCACGGCCGTGGCCTCGACATCTCAGGCATGGCCTAGACATCTCGCCCGTGGCCCAGTCACGGGTGTGGGAAAAAAAAAAAACAAAGCAAAGAAAATATAAGCAACAACGAGTGGCCGCCTGACACGGGCGTGAAAAAAAAAAAAAAAAATCAACAACAAGTGGCCGCCTGATTTTGCCACTTTCAAACTTCCTGCAATGAACCCAGCAATTCCAAACCAACTCGAACATGCAAGGTGAGAGCATCCACAGGAAGTTCACATCGCACCAGAGAGATGACACATGAACCAGCGCCAGATATGTTCCCACTCAAAATATGAGAAGTTTACAACTGGAGAGTTCTAGTAACCAGCGGCCGTTGCCGCAACTCAACACTACAATCCTGACTCAGGTATGTACTCAACTCCTCCTCCCTTGATGTCTGGCTTTTCTCTCTCTCTCTCTCTCTCTCTCTCTCTCTCTCTCTCTCTCTCTCTCTCTCTCTCTCTCTCTC